ACTGTGCATCTATTAAGTCTTGTTGGCCCACAGGCATGTCCTTTCGTTTACAGTCCTGGGCGCCCGGGAGCCGCAACCACCTCGCAGGGACCAAAACGCTCGCCTGCCGGCACCCGGGATCGAACCAGGGACCTTCAGATCTTCAGTCTGACGCTCTCCCAACTGAGCTATTCCGGCCACCCACGCACGCCCTCTCCGTGCCTCTCCCCCACCCCTGCACTCCGCGGACGGGGTTCAGCCTTCGTTCGGGGTTCTGGATGCCGTAAGTGTGACTGTCCCGCTGTGCGGTATCTGTGCCGACCCGGACAGGCTCGGAGGCCCCGTGGGCGCAGGTTGGTCCAGTTCCCGGCGCCGGGGGGTGGCAGGTGGAGGAGGGGGCGGGGGAGGGCAGCGGTGCGGGCGTCGGGAGCGCGGGCAGCGGAGGAGGGGGGCGGGGGGGCGCGGCGGTGAGGTCCAGCCCCGCAGCCTTTCTCTCCTCCGCATCCTGTGAGGGGACCCAGGCACCGCTCGGAGAAAAAAGGAAACCAAAGGAAAGACTTCTTGAGGTTCGTCCTTTTCCTCTTCTTTTCGTCTCTCATTATCTCCCAAAATGCCGAGATACGGAATCCAAGGACGGCGCACATTCGCTGAAGGAAAACAATCTACATGAACACGGCCAGGCTGGACACTCGTCACAGCTTTCCCAACCCGCAGGAGAGCAGCTGCCCCCGGGGTGAGGACAGACGAGTCGGCAGCGCCCGTCGCAGCCGAACTTCACAGGAGAGGAGGCGGCAGGAGGAGGAGACGCGCCCGCCACTTCCCTCCTGCGTGCGGTCTTCATCTGGTAGACGACCCCCCACAACGGCCGAGGATGACGGGGAGGGTCTCCTCTGGGTTTTTCAACACCAGGGGGTAGACGCCCGCTGCCGGGCTCCCGACCACCCTGCCGGGCCGAAAGAAGACCGTGGCACTGCCCGCCCGCCCGTCTCCGTTTAGCTCCGGGTGGTCTGGGGTCCTGGGTCCGGGACAGCCCCGCCGAGCGCTGGTGGCGGCGGCTCGGACCCCGGGAGCAGAGGAGGAGCCCCGCGCCACGACGCAGGACGCCCGGAGGCGCAGGACCTGGTCCGCAGGGACGCCGCGGAGCCTGGGGACTCGCCGCCCACCTCTGGCCTCCGTCTGCGCGCGCTTCCCGGAGGCCGCATCGAGAATCTGAGCCAACTGCCACGAGGTTGTGCAGCGCAAGGCGAGAAGACCACTGGGCGGGTGTGCGGGCCACGGTTGCTCCCGTCCCGGTTGCTCGGGGCAAAAGAAAGGCCAAGAAGGGGCGGGTCTGCTCAGAAACACAGCTGCGCGGCAAAATCCTCCTCGGATGTGGGAATTCCAGTGCCCCCCACCCCCGACGTGGCTCCGTGGCTTAGCTGGTTAAAGCGCCTGTCTAGTAAACAGGAGATCCTGGGTTCGAATCCCAGTGGGGCCTGGGCCGCTACAAGCGTGTGCTTCTTGCTAATCAAGGAGGCGTTTCGCCAGTTTTCTTAAACTTGGACTTGCTCATTCCATTTCGACCATAGGGCTCCCTCCATACACTCCTCAACCCTCACCCCTTCAGCCCCGACTTGCAAAATGGCACTGATTCTGGTATAGCTGCACAAAGCAAAACTGCTGCGAAAGCAAGGAGCAGTAAGGTGACACTAGCATGCTTCCCTGTTTTCTTGATGCGTCTTTTTGTAAATACAAACCACGAGTTCCCTTGGGATTTTCCGGGCAATGTTATCTCGGGTATTCCAACCCCGAGTTCACACAGTTCACGGACAGACTCATTGAAGTTCAGAGGGGAACTGTGGACGTGACTTTAACACGATACTTGCCAGTGCGCAGGAGATCATAACTCAGCTGCGGGTGTGTGCGGAGCCTGGAGTGGCCATGGGGTAGATGTACTGAATCCAAGAGATGTGAATGTTGATGGCTGGTGATCTGCACGGGTTACAGCGGGGGCGCGCGGTGCCAAATGAAAATGTAAGGTCCCTCATCCTAAACAGCACAGAAGTCTACGGCCCACTGTCTGCTTGGCCTTGCGCAGGTCTTCGCCACCCGCTGCACCCAGCATCAGACTTGGCCCTCCCTCCACGGGTGTAAAATCGGGGCTGACCCCGGCCGAGCGCTAACGGAAATCCAGAATCTCTGCCTCGGTGCGCCAAGGCCTCGCTTTGATTCTTGTGCAGTAAGAATCTAAGGTATAATGCGGTCGCTCTTGGGGGCACGTGTAAGCAGGTTTGTGGCTTTCACCATGACATCGACTCTCCCTCTTGGCTGTCCCTGTGACCCAGCAAACGAATGAATGAATGAATGAATGAATTTATTTTAAAAGGAGAGGGAAAGTGCCCTTAAAAGTGGTAATAAAATATAAAGTTTTTTCCCCTTTCTTGGTCTCTCTCGACCTGTTAATTTATTTTTCACTTGCTGATTTAATGTCATTCTAATTAAGTGGACTCCACTTGTGAATTATCAGCAGGAATGTTACTGTTCACCCTCACCTCACACATCAAGATTCACGGGGCCTGGGGATCGCTGTTTGCAGAAGGAAAAGCAACGAAAGCCAGATGCGCACACTGCCCTCCTTTCCTTTGTTCAGATGCCTGTTCGGCTGTCCCCTTGAACATCAATTACAAAACACAAATTCAAGGTGTAATTATTGTCGAGTTTCAAGATGGCAAAAATAGGTCTCGGGGTGGCAGGCCGGCTGTCTCTGAGGTGGACAAAAGCTACTCCGCCTGCCGAAACCCGGGATCGAACCAGGGACCTTTAGATCTTCAGTCTAACGCTCTCCCAACTGAGCTATTTCGGCTGCCTGGAGATAGTGTTTTCCGATATTTATTTTTCAATACTTGGGATTGTTTTCGTCTCTATTTTAGGGGATTCCGGATTCTTCAAATGCCGCTGTTGAAGTGTCCAGCACATTATCCACCCAGAAACGGGGGGCATCTATTATCTTCCACCCATAATGCTTGGACCCAGTTCCTGGCAGCGGGAGACGGTAGGTGGAGGAGTAAGACACAAGAGAGGTAATAGGGTTCCAAAACATAAAGCCTTTCCTCTCTTCCTCATCCTGCCAGTTAACCCAGATACATCTCAGAAAATTAAGGAAACCAAAGAAAAAATTTCGCGGGGTCCCATGCACAGGAGAAAATCTTTGTGATCTTGGGTCAAATACTTTGTAGATATGACAACGAAAGCATAAAATTATATAAATTTAACCTCATCAAAAAATGTTAAATCCTGCTCTGTGCAAAGCATGTTTAAAAGAACAGAAAGGCAAGTCACAGACTGGGAGACAACCTTTGCAAACCATATATCTGATAGAGGATTCACAGCTAGAATATATAAAGGGCTCTTAATAGTCAACAATAAGAAAACCTGATTTAAAATACCCAAATAGCAATGTCTGAGTGGCTCAGTCAGTTAGGCTGCTGCCTTTGGCTCAGGTCATGATCTCAGAGTCCTGTGATCGAGTCCCACATTGGGATTCCTGCTCTTTCTCTGCTTCTTTCTCCTTGGCCCCTGCCTGCTTGTGCTATCTCTCTCTCTCTGACAAATAAACGAATAAAATGTTTTATAATAAAATAAAATATCAGAATATTTAAGCAGAGGATGTCAATGAAGATATAAGGACGGCAAAGAAACAAAAGATGCACGACATCAGTCATTAAGGAAATACAAATTAAGCCCATAATGATAGACCTTTGCAGTTATAAGAGTTGTTAAAATTAAAAATGCTAGCCATACCATATGTTGGTAAGAATGCAGAGGAAATGAAACTCTCATACACCATCAGCAGTAATGAAAAAGAGGACTACTTTGAAACGGTTTGACAGTTTCTTAAAAAGTTGTAGTTGTACCAACCCCATGATCCAGCCATGCAAATTCTAAGTATGTATCCAATGGAAAAGAAGTAAAACTGTTATGCGCATACAAATTCTTGTATACAAATATTCACATCAGTTTTATTTGTAATCACCAATAACTGGAAACAACCCAAAGGCTTACCATAAATGAGTGAACGGATAAACCAGCTGTGGTCTGTCCATGCCATGGAGTACTACTCAGCACAAAATGGAATAAACTACTGATACATTAAACATGGGTGATCTCAAGATAATTATGATGAGTGAAAGAAGTAAAACCAAAAAAGTAAATATGATATGATTCCATTTGTATAAAACGTCAGAAAATGCAAACTAAACTACAGTGACAGGGAATTAGGTCAGTGGTTGCTTGGGAATGGAGAGGCAGGGAGAAGGAAGGAAATTGAAATTAAACATTTTCTTCCTCTCTACTTCTCTCCCTCCCCCCTCTCTCCTCCCCCTTCCTTTTTCTTTTCTAGATTTGCCAGCTGTCCGCAGGGTGAAGACTATTTCTCAAGATATGGAATGAGGGACACAGCACAGTTGGAAATAAGCAATAATCATTTTCATTCTGCACATAGGCTGTCAAAGTGCTTCCTTGGTTTTCTGGAGAAGATATCCTGGTGTTGAAGATGACTGGTGAGCAAGGCAAGGTTCAGTGTAGAAAGTGAAGGAAGAGAGTAATAACAGACCAATGACACTTGAAGAGGTGGGTACAGACAAGACGGTCAGTGCAGATTAGGTAGAGTGATCTGTGGAGGAGAAAGACACCGTAGAGAAAAAGAATGAAGACAAGTGAAACTCCCAACCTGAGACTCTCCAGAGAATAGTAGTCAAAAACAAAACAAAACAAGACAAAATACAGGCATTAGGATAGTAAGAAGCTCTTAAAGAAGACTAACCCCAGCTGGGAAGAACCTGGGAGCTGGAATGGTATCAATTTGGACTTAGAATTTACTATACTTGGGTCTAGCAAAAAAAAAAAAAAATCCAATTTAGAAATTGTAGAACTAGTACCATTAAGAGAATAAATTTTCTGACACACACACCACACAGCCTTGCCAAAGAATACAGAAGATAGTCATATTTCCTAATATATCACAGAAGAAGCAGCTTCCGCCTGGGGGTGTAGCTCAGTGGTAGAGCGCATGCTTTGCAGGCATGAGGCCCTGGGTTCGATACCCAGCACCTCCAAAAGCACTTCCTTCTTTTTCCTATCACCAATGTTCTCCACATCCGTACACTCCTTCTGGCATGCCAAATCTTCTTTTCTGTTTTTGTTTTTTTGCTAATTCTTTGTTTAAAAGTGATTGGTGTGGGCGCCTGGGTGGCTCAGTGGGTTAAGCCGCTGCCTTCAGCTCAGGTCATGATCTCAGGGTCTTGGGATCGAGTCCCGCATCAGGCTCTCTGCTCAGCAGGGAGCCTGCTTCTCTCTCTCTCTCTGCCTGCCTCTCCATCTACTTGTGATCTCTCTCTGTCAAATAAATAAATAAAATCTTTAAAAAAAAGTGATTGGTGTGACATCAGAAGGAAGAAAGGAGACAGAAAGTCTTATTCGACATCTGCAAATGCAACCAGTATTGTCACCTGGAGTACCATTTTACAATAGGACTTAAGGAAGATCCACAGTAAGAGGAAGAGAGAGGGAGAGAGGAGGGATGAGTGGAGGAGAGAAGGGGAGGGAAGAGGTGGAAGAGGGGAGAGAGAGAGAGGGAGACCAGTGTGATTTCTTTAAGCTAATCCTGAAGACAAGGGCATGAGAAAAATCAGGTGATGTGAATCCAGCTGTGTCTGGAAAACACTTTGGACTGCAAGCTGAATGCCTCGGACAAATGACTCTCCGGATCCTTTATTACATACCAGAAACAGAACACATGAATTCAAACACGGACTTTTGTTTTTCCTGTAAGAACCTGAAAAATGACAAAGTAAGGAAAATCCCATCATCGGTCTGCTTTAATTTTGGAGACAAATTAATGTTCGTCCCCCACAGTAGAGAACGCTCAGATAAATCCACGTAATGGAGAAGTCTTGGCTTCTCAGAAGTCAGCCAGCTCCTGTCTCCTTTTGAGAAACAGGAAATGTTGAGAACAGCTGTTCTGCACTCCGAGTGTGTTGGAGGCAGGAGACCCTCCCTGTGGACAGTATTTCTGCTCAAAGGCGGTCCTCTGGGGACGAGAGGAACCGATGTTGTTTCCTTGCACAGATGCTGTAAGTGCAATTTCTGCTTTGGTTTCTCTTGAAATAGCCCCTCTCTGAAGGCGCTCCATGGGAGTCTGACTGCGATGGGATCTGGGATCGCCAGGCTAGGAGAAAGCCTGAGCTAGAACCGGGAATGGCAAAGTGACTGGGAAGCCACACAGGGTAGCGCTGATACCCTGCAGTGGAGGCTCTTCCGACCTTCGAGTCCAGCCCTGCTACCAGCTCCGCGAAGGGCAGTGAACAGTCCCAACTCCAAAGAGCAGGGGAGGCCCGGCCCAAGTTTCTGCCTGGAATTATGAGCAAATGTAATTAACAGTTGTTTAAAGTCACTTGGTTTTGAGAAGTTTGATACGTAGTAGCATTCTATAACTAAAATAGTCACAGATTGGCAAAGAGGGGCAAAGCAGAGATCATCACCTTATCTGGAAGCTGATGGTGGGAAACAGGACTTTGGTGTTCCAAGGAAAAGTTAAGACCACAACAAGGAGTATAAATCTTTTTTCAAATGAGATCAGTCTAGAAGCACTGTCATTTTTATTAATTTTTTGAAGATTTTATTTATTTGTCAGAAAGAGAGAGAGCACAGGCAGACAGAGGTAGAAGCAGGCTCCCTGCCAAGTAAGGAGCCCCATGTGGGACTCGATCCCACCATGCTGGGATCATGACCTGAGCCGAAGGCCCCACTTAACCAACTGAGCCACCAAGGCACTCTCATTTTTTTTTTTAATGAACCATTTTTTAAGGCACTCTCATTTTTTTTTAAAAAAGTAATAAGTTCCTTATCTACCAGTTTTGATGGAGAACTTTAAGCCCTTATTCCACGCACTTCTAACATGCCCTCTCCTCCCAGGCACATGCATGTTGGAAATTCAGGTTCAGAGATAACTGCAGCGTTCCAGACTCTGACTGTAATGGCCTCAGGTAGACGTCCTCAGGGGGCCATGGTGCAGACACGTAAGTTACGTCATGTCCAAACCCAAACTATATATTTCCCCTTATTGCTTCACCGATGCTCCCAAAGCAAAAACAAATCAACCAACCAGTAACAACGTCAGCGGAGCAGAACTCTCACCCTTCCTCCTGTATCTACTATTCTTTGCAAAAGTCATCACCATCCGTGCAACCAACCTGCAAGTCTTCCTCAGTACTAAGTGTCAGACTCCAATGAGAACCCAAACCCTGTGTCAGTCTACCTTGTTCCTCAAATTTCTCCCGGGCCTTTCACTGTTAAATTCATCCTCTTACGGATCTAGTAGATCCTGAAAGAGCCTCCGAAGTCGGCTGCTTAGACTAGGACAGACCGAGACAATCAGGGCACTGTGCACAGATAAGGCTCTCTCCTGCAGCAGCCCGGGCTCGCCTCCCCCAGTCCTGCTTCCCAGGGGCCAGCGGAGCCCGCAGCAGGCTGCGAGGTGTGCGGGACCACACACTAACGCGCTCTGGGGAGAGCTCCCGGCGGCTTCCATGTAAACGCTGGAAATAAGGGACAAGAAAAAGGAAACAATGAGTCAACAGGCCTTGAACTGATAAAACTCTTAAACCTCACATGAAGAGGCTCAGACTCCACGACCGACCTGTCCCACCTGACAACAGAAGGGCTTCCCGAAACCTAGTCGCGCTGGACACATTTGGTTTCTCCAACAGAAACAGGACGCGAGCCACACACACGACTTCAAATTTATGGAGGATCCCCAGAGTCCGCGAGCAGGCGGGGGTGTAGCTCAGTGGTAGAGCGCGTGCTTCGCAAGTACGAGGCCCCGGGTTCGACCCCCGGCTCCTCCATCCGAGCTTTTTCGCGCGCCTTACCGTGTTTCTTTCAGTATTGTGTCATTTCTACTCCGTGGGATCTGGGGGCCCCCAAGACGCCGACATTCACGGAAGAGAGAAGAAAAGAAAGACAGCGGCACTCCTCAGTCTCACCGCCGCCCCAAACACCAAGCTGCAGCCACACCCACAGACCGTGCACTTTTCGTCTCATTTGGAGGAATCCCCCAACAGAAAAAAGGGGAAAAAAGATCCGTGAAGTCTCCTAGGTTGTGCGGAGACTGCGCGGTCCAACGCGCAGGGACCGGTCTCCCCCGCTCCTCCCCACCCCCTGCCTCGCGGAGCGCGCCGGGAGCCCCGCCTCCGTGGGGCGCGGCCCTCGAGCGTGCGGGCGACCCTGACCCCAGCCTCGTGCACGTCCAGAGCATCCTCTGGGAGCCGGAGACCGCTAGCTCCCTCAGACGAGCGAGCGCGCACCGACCGCAAAGGAAAGATCCTGGAATCTGGAGCACGGTTACGCGTACTCCCTATTAAACTGATGTTCACAAGAAGTTTACACAAAACATTCACGGAGCACCGCGCTGAAGCTCAGTCTCAGAAAACGGCAAACAACGGTTTTAGATTCCTTACCTTCCACGTGTCCTCGTGAACTCTTTTGTTCCCAGATCTTTAACTGAATTAACACCTCGTGCAGCACCACAGCGAATGTCCTGGAGGAAGATGTGGCCAAAGCTGTTTGGGTGGGAATAAGGACAAATGTATAAGTTGCTTGTATTTAAACAAACAAGTAAACATCACTTGTTATCACTTGTTAAAGAGACGGCACAAACTATGGAGTATGGAATATCATTGATCTCGGCAGGTCGTATGTTGGGTGAATGAGCCAGAATCGGTCCATTTTCCTTTGCAAAGCCTTTACACGCTACCTTCTGTATTAGAAAGGGATGCTTCAAAATGCGAAGTCGAAATTTAAAAGATGACATCTAAATTCCCTCCTTTGGAAAAGCTAAAAGCACATTCCTCCTAGTTCCTCTGAGATCAGGAGAGGGAACAGGGATCCATCACAAGCTCCATCTCCTTGAGGACTCAAGTCCCAGACAGCCCCTTCGCCAGCTGGCCATCTCCGGCTACCTTGGTCCAGGTGTGTTGTAGTCACGCTGCTGCCTAAATTATTTTAGCCCAAAAGCTAAGGGAATGAGCTTTCCTTCCCTCTGATGCTCACTCTCTTGCCTCCTGACTGGGACGCAGAGTCATCAGCAGTGGGAAACAGCTTGGACCCCCCTCTTCCATTTTGGCAAGCATCCATTCTCCAGCATGATCTTCCCCTTGCTCTTTGTGGCCTCGCTGTATCTCGCATGGAGCCCTGAAGAATCTCTGAGAGACTCTCCCAAGCAGCTGTTAAAAGCGATGAGAGATAAGAAGTCGCCATAAAGCAATGGAACTCTGGCCACTAACCGGCAAGGGCACCCATATATGGGATACGTTTCTCCAGGGGAAGGGAGTAGCTGAGTCCTAGACCCTCAGAGCCTCAACCACGGGCATGCATGGCCCACCGTGACTCAGGGGGCTGAAGGCTGGGGCTCCGAATGTGTCGTTCCTTCTAGAGCTAGTGGTGCGGTGTCACGGGTTTCCTACATCATTCCACGGGGTCTCTGCTCCTCCAGCCCTATGGGCTGTCCCCTCCAGCAGGAAATGCTAGAGAAAGGGCCTGAAAAAACAGAAACAGAAAGATTGCCTCTGGAAAGTTAGATCCAGATGGGAAAAGGAAACATCCCAAATAAAAAAACAGTAATTGTGTGTCGTCAGTGGTTGCTATAGCAAAGTCTGGAGCCCAGCGGCTTGTTCCAAAACCGGGCAGTGGTTTCGCCTGGAGGACTCTACCTTCTGTCTCCAGGACCCACAGAGAAGTACAGGGAGGCTTTCTGGAGGCAGAGCAAGAAGCGGTTCCCAGAAGCACTTTCCATTCATAACAACCTCCGCACCCCAACCCCGGCTGGCGGGCGCGCCTCCAAGCTCAGCCATCACCGGGGCGCAAAGAATAGAGCTTCCCTCCTGTTGGCAAAATTGGTAGTGACCAAATATGAGTGTGTGTGTGTGTGGGGGGGGGTAACCATAAATGATTGTATTGTCTCAGTTTCCACTCGGATACTTTTCTCCCGGTGCGAAACCTGTACTTTCCCGAATATCCTAGTAAGTTCTCGATCACCTCTCCGGTTCCCCAGTCGCTC